TGGTCCACAATTTTATATAATTTCAGAAGAAAAGGTGCTCCTGAGAGTCTAAACAAGGTTGCACTCAAGTATAGAAGAGCGAGAACTCAACAACCATTAGACTCTACCGAGTTAAGTATCTTTTGTCTTATTCTTTATAGTTTTACTAGTGGCCCAGTGCACAAATTCATGCACATTAAAATGAAATTAATTAGAAGAAATATTTTAATATTGCTATTCACCCTTTCTCTATAATAGAAGTGTCAACCAAATTCACAATCAACAATGACAGATTGGAACACATGTGTGCGATTGGCGCCAGCGAGAGCTTTATATGTATCGTGCATGCGCAAGTCAACTTGGCCTTTTATATATAGAGAATAAACTTACTTAATTAGGCCTGCTTTCTAATTTAGCTAAACTTTTTCCAGCCCAGTGAAGCACCCCAACATCTCTGTCAGGTAATTGTCAGTAACACAGTAGTAAGTATCAACACGAAGCAGATTATTATTGTAGATCACACAGGGAGAACAAAGGGTAAAATATTTAACTGCAGCAGTGTTGACTATATTCTGTGCAGTGAGAAAACCTGCTACTTCAGGACTTCTGTGAGGATCAAATGAGATGAGGCACAGGAAAATGCTTCACAGACATTTGGTTAAAGTGTAAAATGTTTCCACCTGGCTATAAAGCAAGTCGTGTTCCTGGGCTGAAGAAAATATTTCTTCTAATTAATTTCCTTTCAATGTGCATGAATTTGTGCACTAGGCCACTAGTAAAACTATAAAGAATAAGGCAAAAGATACTTAGTAGAGTCTAATGGAGGCTAGTCACTAGGGAGATGAAGCCGGGCGTTGCTATGTGATGTCACTACCTGGTGCCCATAGCCACCATTTCTGGGCTGGGCTAGGCTGTGGGCCGCATTTTGCACCATGGGTGTTGGCATCGATCATTTGCGATTTGGTGGGGTGTCGCTCTGGGGTGGTGGTGGGGCCTGTGTCCCACTTGGGGGAAGCCAAGTGTTGCTTTGTGGGCACCAGGTCCATGGTGTAGTTTCTCTGTAAATGGCCAGTGCGCATCACGGGAGCTCCTGCATTGAGCGTCTGCCCACTGGTGCTCAGTGAGCATCTTAGCAACCAGTCGGATAGTCAGATACTTAGCATATTAGCCATATATGGCTTGTTCTCATATA